CACTGCTGAGTGCACTGGGGACCCCCATAGGATGCTCCATCTGCTCCACTATTTCAACGTTCACAAGTCGCCTGGTACTTTGAGCCACCTAGTACCTGGTAGAAAAAACATATAAAGCTGTGTCTATCCAAATCGTCAAATCTCTCCGAATCAAATCAGAGGCTTCTGATTTCAATTCAGAGAAATTAATGAATCTCCTGATTTGATTCGGATTTAGAGATTTGGCCACCGAATTGGGCCAAATCTCTGCCGAATCAAATCAGCAACGAAAGCTTCGCACAGCCCTATGAGCCACCCCATCATGAGTAGCCCCACTACGTTGCCACCAGACCTTCCAGTCAAATGCAACTTACAGTCATACCCAAAACCAACTCTAAATATAGTGCATCAGCTATTAAATTGATACTACCTTTCATCTTAGCAAAAAGACTAAGAATTTGGTCTTTTACTTTTGTGAAAGGGTGCATTTGTATAAACATGAAGATGAAGTGTTTCTATAAAGGTTTTATCAAAACAAGTCTGACTTTTTTTATACTTAATTGGTATAGTCAGAAGTAAAGAAACAATGTGACGGATCACTTTGGACTAAATTGGCCTATCTTTTACCATTGACTTCAGTGAAGTACACTGACTTATACTAGCAGACAATCTGGCCCCAAACTCTTATTCTATATACACCACAGCATGTTATTTCTGTTACAGAAAATGAATATAGAATTACTTTACAGTTTAAGTTGTACTGGGATTTTTTTTTCTGTAGAAAAGACCCTGAAGTGTGGCATGGTGTAGGGCCCTCACATCCTTTAACGTGACCTGTCCAGACAAGTGGTGTTTTTTCTGCTACTTCACCCACCCCACACAGGCACACTGGAAGAAAAGAAATCTTCTGGTGAGAAGCTTATAGCGAATAGTGGCTTTTTTGAAGCTGCTAAGTGATTCAAAACACACTGGTAGTTCTGAACCAGTGATTAGAGAGCAAAAAAGACAATCAAAAGTGAATGCTAAATTGTGGAACCATACAAGAAAGTATTTGATGACTATTGTGGATTTTACTATAGGATATCATCACTGTATTATGATATATATGCCTGTGTTTGCCATTGCATGCATGCATGCCTGAACAACTGGGAATGACTTTATAAATATCTAAGTGACCCAAATTTAGGGTAATGGTGATATTTGTAATTGGCAAAATTATCCTACTTTAGCAACCTAATTTGTGTGAGGCTTCCTGTATGGGATGTCGTTCCTCCCAAATGTACGACAGAAACACCATGTGTCTGCAAATGGTAATACATTTTAGAGAAAATGCATTTCTTTAGAGGTATTACATTACAGTTGAAGTACTGTTTTTTCTCATAAACTTTCTTCTGTGTCACCCCATCTTTAGACTTGATTCCATGAGGTGCAGAACACTCATGGGAGTGCTGAAGGGAATGACTAGTCTTTGAGACTCTGGTGACTGTTTTGCGTCCCAAGATGGCTAAAAAACCCTAATTTACTTGCAATACTTTCTGTTTTTCTAAAGTGTCTTTGTTGCTTGCCCATACTGTATACACATCACTATTGCAACCAGTTCATATTTATTGTAAGCACATTAAAAAACACAATATTTTCTTTTCAGTGCTTAAGTATAGCACTGTTCTGAATTCTGCTATCTGTCCACCCAGAAAATCACTAAAAAGACTGGAATCATTACCATATGAATTTGATTCATTTTTCTCCTGTGTGGACCCATGACATATTTCTAGCCCTGATGTGAAGTGACATTAGAGAGAGAACTTTCACTGGTCTAGCACTTAATATTGTGAACCTCTGGCCTTCACCTGATTCATGCTCAAGATGGGAACAATGGAATGATTTAATGGCAATTGAATATGATGATAATATCAAAGATCATATAATAACTTAGCATCAAATATGGTATGAATAGAAGTATTTGCATGTGAGAACAAATTGGCAAGATCAATGAATTTCACCATGAGACTGCATGTTTTAACAAATGGTTGTAGAAAGAACTAAATTCCTATCATACATATCCATACGAATAAAGAGTTTGTTTTAGAAAACATCCACTGCCTGCCTTTGGGAGTCATTTTCCAAGTACTTTTGGCAATGAAGTATCTCAGTCATGTGAGAATAGATACCTCCACTGGTGAATAGGGCAAATGGATCTATAGTCGCCATAATGCAATAAAAGTACATGTATTTCTCAAGCTTGAACAGAAATAATGGCCTTTGAGATTATAACAATTACCTAAAGGACATTTGTTACTTAGCGCATTTTATAATGTATAGGTCATCACATCGTATAGGTCAACCGCGTCTTGGTGTGTGAGGTGCTGGAAGCCTGGACAGGCTTATGGGAGAAGCAGCGTGCTGGAAGGCATCGCTGCCCGACACCTCATGCTGCCCTGGGGCAAGTCAGCCCCTTCCTGGGTGGTGCCAGGCATCCTACCAGCCACAGGCCCCTGCTGAAGGCACAAACAGTGAGGACAGCACCTAAGCTGCAAGCAGGGCTCGTTTCTCCCCTCTGCAGCAGCAGCAGTCCCTGGGGTTGGCTATATAGGCTGCCAGCAGGCCGTGTGCTGCCCGAGCTCCCAGGGAGCTCCCAGTAGCATTGCTTGCAGGGGATGGTATATAAGTTGAGGTTGAATTTTAAGGGTTAAAAATTTGGCCCCAGAACTCGATTTATACACCGTGAAATACAGCAGTTGTGAAGTTTTCATAATGGATAGGTAAGAAATTTCTGATTTACTAAAAACTCTTCAGCTCTTACTCTTAAGAGTTAAGAAGTATAATTTCTCCCCAGTTGCCAAAATGGGGAGCTGAGTCTGAGTTTTCCTAATCAAAATGTTGTTTTTCTTTCTCCTCCATCCTTCAAAATGAAGGAAGGAGGGTGGGGGTCTACATTTGTCAGTGAAAGTAAAAATCTTTCATAAAAAGCTGCATTTGTTCCTTTTGAGGGTGACATTCTGTGGCAGGTGATCATCCAGCCCTATCGGTTGATTTGATCAGTGTATTTTACTGCTTCAGTCAATGTTTGGAAGATGGAGGTAGATCTGCATCTTGTGCCTGTGGCCTGTGCCCAACTGTTGAAAGGAGAACCTGTGTTATTTTAAGGTATTCTTTTGAAGGGCGGACAGATGATCTGTTGACTTTGAACCAGGGCGGACCCTGGCCCTCCCAGCAGGAACCAGGAAGACTTGAACGCTGTACTTGCAGCATGAATACCAGTGTGCCCCAGAGGCTAGGGGGGCATGACGAGCTCCTGCAGGTGGTGGTGGCTCTGGCGGGAGCATGGCGGCAGTAAATGGGGAGCTCCTGCAGGCAGCCCTGGCGCTGTCGGCAGCAGGGGGGGAGGTGGCAAGCGCTGACCAGCTGTCGGCAACCACCCGCAGATGTCAGCAGTGATCACGGACCGCCCGCAGACGCTGCCAGTGGTGTCGACAGCGAGGGAGAGCGGGTGGTGACTGGCAACCGCCTGCAGGCGCCACTGGCAGTGTGGGCACTGCCTTTTTGCAGGGGGTGCACGTGCAACCCCTACGTGTGGCCAGTGACTTGCATGTCTATCAGCCTGCAGACTCTTCTTAAAGGGCTGCCTGGTTGGGCACCCCTTTGCCTTTCCCAACCCCCTTCCTTCCAAGTGTCCTGTACTGCACTTCCCCTCC